CGCAGCAGGAAGCGCCTGATGAAATTTAATAACGAGTTTGCCAGCTTCTCAAGTTACCTTTTTAACATTCGGATCATATAAATGGTGGAATATAAATGATGATAATTACATATTCTGCTCGTGTGCGATACTTGCTCATGTAATCTTCTTAAAATAGTTCTTTATATCTTTATTTTTTTATATCTTATGTGTCGCACCAAACCGATGACAATCCTAATGAAATAAATTTTTATATCATCTCGTAATATTTTGAAGAATTTATCATATTTTAAATTTATGAAGATTTAGGAAAAAATATCTTAAACTTTTTCAACTTTTAAGTCTTAAATTTCAGAATTCGCATATATAAGAGTTCTAGAAAAGATATCAACTTTCTTAGCACTTCTTAAGAGTTGTAGTTCGTATAAAAAAATCTGAGATATTTTCTAAATAGTTACAAATTATATAAAGATTGAGAAATTCTGAAATTTACATAAGAATTCTGAAAAATTATATGAAGAATTTAAAAAAAAATTTTCGCTAGAAAATCGATATAATAATTAAAGCAAAAGACATGTATATGATATAGTATTTTACATGTGAGTTTTTCAGTTCGTTTTAGAACGAGATGCAGACGAATCTATATAGACGTCGATCACGATTGCTTATATTGGCAATGAAGGAGCGGAACATTCCCAGGCGCCTTCAATCTCGACGATTTTATTTAACTTTGACGTCACACGCATAAATCAACGTTAAGTGATACGCGTCAACAGATTATCTAACACAGTCGCACGTGACAAAAATTGTACCGGTCATTGATATCACAGCTATGTCACGCGTATAAATCTATACAGGGTGTATCTAAAATAACGTACACTAATCATACAGTGCTATACTTAGTAAAAAACTGAATCGAAAAGTCCTTTAGCATTTTGCAATTTTCGCAATAGTTAACAAGATATTAATTACAAAAAATCGCTGAATATTGGTTTTCAATAATTTTTTACTCAAATGCTATCAACTTTACAGAAAAACTGCTAGAGATAAAAATTGTTTATTTTCTTCTCATAAAGTTATGAGAATTTTTTCAGAATTTTTTAATACCATATTTTCTCATGTTGGTAAAAATAAGAAAATACAGTAAACTAAAAAGTTAATAAAAAATTCTGAAAAAATTCTTAGACTTTTATGAGAAGAAAATAAATGATTTTTGTCTATTGCAGTTTTTCTGTAAAGTTGATAGTATTTGAGTAAAAAATTATTGAAAATCAATATTCAGCGATTTTTAGTAATTAATATTTTGTTAACTATTGCGAAAATTGTAAATTGGTAAAGGACTTTTCGACTCAGTTTTTTATTAGAAATAGCACTGTATGATTAGTGTACGTTATTTCAGATACACCCTGTATAGTTCTGCAAATTATCTAATTGTCAAGATATGGCAGAGTTTCCTTACCCGGCGATATTGCGTGTATCTTGCAAAAATTGTCTTAGGTTTATCAGCGATAACAATGAACGAGAAGAGATCTGATGTCATTAAATCTAAATTGTGTATATAGTGATAGAAATTTTTACGATTTTTATGTATTTTATTTTTTCGATTTCTTAATTTATTTTTTATTACAATTTATTAATTGGCTGTAGAACATTTAAGTAAAAATGTTCGTGATTATTTGTTGCAAAACTATTTTTAATATCTACTTTCTTTGATTTTGATGTTTAATATAAAACTAGTTTTTATTTCTTGACCCAATATTTACTCTTGTTTTTTTACTTCTCTCATTTTTATTATAATTTTCTTCAATTGACTTATCCATAAAACCGTTTCAAAATCAAGAGATCAAGATTTATTGAATCTGTAATTGTCATTTTGCAGGATCCTCTTTTACACCACACAGCCCGCACATGTAATCATGATCGCCGCAGTCTTATTCGTTACATCGGTTCTCTTCCCAATCAAGGGACGAGTACAAGGCTCTAATCATTCTTATTCAAGAATGATGTCCTTTATTTATCTCGCATCCTTCGTTATACACTTTGGTGCTCAAATTTGGATGACTTTTGTATCAGGTATATATACATATAATTAAAAAATATATTGAATATATTTTTAATAAAATGATATATAAAAGGAAGTCTCTTGATCTACTTTTTCTAATTGATTTTCTCTGAAATAATAGCTATACCATTTATTCGCAGGCCTGTCTTTATATTTTGCACTGCCACGACATGCATTCGGCGAAGTGCAGCGCGTTCTATTTCCAAGGTACTTTACAATTAACGCGTGTTTAAGTCTTATCACGCTTCTCATATTTGTCAAGCATCATCCGACGCATACATGGGACTCCGAAATTGCTGTTCAAGTATGTAAATAATGCCTTAAAATATTTAAAAGATAAGATACCTTAATTTAATTAGATATAATTTAATTTTCTCTGAAACGCGTAAATAATTCGTTTTATCTTAAATAAAAATTAATTAATTTAATTAATAAATTTAATAAATTCTCAGAAAAGTAAAAGTGAAATTTGTATTACATGCAGGTTGGTGCAATGTCCGGAGCCTTTTTCTTAGAATTACTGATACGCCTCTACCTGACACCTCCGCTTCTCCAACTGATCGTGCAGAAGAACAACTTTGAACGCGCGGCGGGCGTCGGCAATGAGATAGGCCGTCATAATCCTGGACCACTCAAAAACTGTACGCATTACATGAAGATCCATCGAGCGTTTCGCCGAGTACATGTATGCATAGCTATGGGAAACATGCTCACTATGGCGTGCACAGTACTTCATCTCTATTATATAGCGAGTAAATTATGCGCTTTGTAAGAATAATTCCAATCATAAAGTTTATATATGCATTTTTTTCGTGAGCTCAACAAAGTTCTCGAAAAGAATATAGAATCTAGAAAATAATTTTGAAAAAAGCGTTGGTAGTAAGTACGTTAGTACGTGTCTCGTATGATAACGAAAGTCTAAATGCACCGGAATATTCAAACCTGGTGCAAAAGATGTGATTTTTCCTGCCATTAAAATTAATTGCAAAAGACTGTATAATGAGTCTTTCAGTGCAGCTGCCTTGAATTTTAAACCTCGAAGATATCGAGGTACATTGGTGTACCTTGTACTCAGTAATCTGAACTTACTCTATGTTAAAATAGAGTAAGTATTCAGATAAGACTATAATAGGTTTTATTTGCATAATGTAAGTCACGCTGACTTATCCTCAGAACACTAGCCAATTCAGAAGAGAATCAAGCTGAAGCGAAGGTAAAAGACCAGTTTTAATACTTCTCATAAATATGATCTGCTTACAATTTGTAGTGCTGTATAAATTATTGCTAAAAGTAGTGCGAAGCGCGTGCATGTAATTTGCGAGAATGTCTAAAGATTGAGTGGACATAATTTATTCATCAGCACGAAGCGGTTATCGAAGCTTTTATGTAAATAATATATATCTCATGCGAAAATATATCGATTCATTTGTATCTGTGTATGACTTGAAATAGATATAAAATATTTTTATACATGTAATTTATATAAGCTTTAAGGCATGAATTCTTGCCAAAGCATATTTCTTTTATTATATCGGCATGAGAATAATTAAATTCTTGCGCTAAAAATGTATTAATAATTAGATCAAAGTATCTTATTTGCGATAGAAAGTCGAGACTTGCTTAATACACACTTAGAATTTTTTTGAAAAAAAATATGAAATTATTTCGCGATTTTAAAATTATTATTACATTGGATGCAATAAAAATATATTTACTCTGTATCAGAGTCAATGATATTTATTGAAATTGCACACTAAAAAAAAATCGTATAGATATAAATGTAGCAGTGATATGAACTGAAGGAATAAATCATTTTATATCGAGTGAATTATAGGCTCATACATACACGGAGCTCATTACTGTAAATAACTGCATTCTATTCATTTAACATTTGTAAATTATGATATCTCATATAACAATATATGAGTATATAAGTTTTTTTTATAATTTTTAGTCTATTAATTATTGATATACCTTCCCATAAATATCAACTCTAATCGAATATTCATGTAATACATCTTAAATTGTCAATGAATATTATATGATATAAATTAAATTGCGAGTTTAATATCCCTATCAATGACAATATAATCGTCGAGTATACAATATATTCGTACGATGTCATTGTATGATATAATATTGGTATGGGAATAAGTTTCCGCTCTTTCTTAATGAAAAAGATTTCTTATTCCCATACCTACTTCACATATAAAAAATTTACATCTATATAAAAATCTGTACATTTTACATACTAATAATTGCAATCACACGATCACATTCTATGAATTAATTAATGCTACAATCTAATGATCCAATCTGATTGCTCTAATAATAGTAAAATGATTTTTTCTTGCCTATACCTAACTATATATAATTTAAGAGTGACATTTAAAATGACTGATGCATAATTAATTACATATAATGATTTAAGTATCCATAACTGAGAAACCTTAATACTGAGCAATTTCCAACAAGAGACACCGTGAATTTTTTCATTCTTGTTTAACATTGACAAACAACAAGGCTGAAATGATTCACTATGTTATCACACTGTATCATCTGTGTTTTGTTGGAAGAAAAATGTTCACTATTATGTTTATAATACTTCTATAAACATATGTACAATTGTGAAACGCATTAAATAAAATGTTTTATAGTTATCGTTTTCAGAACAAGCTATATATATCTATTATATTAATAATAAAAAAGAAATTCTCTCGTAGCAACATTCTCGAATACCTCGAGATGAAATAAATGCGTTTCAATAAAGAAGATTATACTCGAAGAATCTCTGCCGCTTTGTTGTAACAAATGGCTATCCAATCGGGTTGCGTGGCACCCCATTGAATTTGATTGACCTCGCCTTCTGCGGCGGTGTAAGCAAGTATAGGATCCTCTATTGCTCTTGGCATTTGCTGTATATCCCAGATTAAAGCCTGATGATCATCACCGGCTGTGCAAATGTGACAGGATGAATGCGGGGCCCAGGCTATCCCATTAACACTGGCCCTGTAAAATTGAAAGGAAAGAAATTAATCAAAGAAATTTCTTAATCTTCCAGAGTTGATATGATCAAAGTAGACCAGAGTCTACTGGACTTATTTAATTATAGTCTTCCGGAGCTGACTGTAAATCTATTGGAGTCACTATGCAGTGACTGTTTGAATAATGTAGATTTTTAGGAATAAAAATAATTCAACTTTTTCTGTGAAGTGATGTTAAGATAAATAAAACACATTATATTTAAATTTACTACTATTATATAGTTCTCTTAATTCTTGTATCCATTTTGTATTATTGTAGCAATTGTCATTTTACACAAAAATGTCAAATGATTCAATTTTCTTTTTGTTACATCTGCAAATTTGGATTATTCTTATTAAAATAAACACAGCTTATTCTTTTTTTATACGAGTTATGTTATTTAAGTTCTTTGAAATTAATTAATGCTTGCCTTTTAATTAACATACATTAAATGGGCCTCACAGATTCAGTATCAGTAACTGTGTTAGATTTTGCTGTTAGCTTCGGAGGATTAAAAAACCTCAGTATTACAAATATTTCTAGCGTTGTAATATTAACTTGTATGTTATATATTGTATAAATATAATATTATATATTATTTATATAATATTAAATATAATATTATATAAATATAATATTAAATCATTTTATATTGACCTGTGATTATTCAATCTCGCGACTGGCGTGCACGGCACTCGAACGTCCAGAATGATGACTTCGCAAGCGTCCATCGCTACAGTAGCAAGATAATTGGGATCCTGCTTGTTCCATGCTAATCGTAACAGCGGAGTATGCTGTGGATCCTCATAGATAATCGTCGAATGCTCCAAATGTCGTAGATCAAACATCCTCACGGATCCATCAGCGCCGACAGAGGCAAACATGTCGCGGCCACCTCCGGCACGACTGAACGCGATATCATAAACTTCTTTGTCGTGTGCAATCAGTTGTGTTTTCACGTGACCGCTGACCATGTTTGTGACTCGACCCATAACCTGTCCTGTCTCCAATCCCCAAATTGTACATGTGGTATCAATGCTGGAAGTTCCGATTAGATTGGGATCCACCTCGTTCCAGTCGAAAGATGTAAGCGGTGCACAGAAATCTGAGTTCTTATTATTATTTAGGACACACTCTAAACGAGTCTCAGGTTCTGCGGCACGCCATACTCTCAGATAATCGCCAGATGTCGCGAGAAGATCGGGAAGCTGACCTAGTAAGAATTTTATTTATTACATAGTGCAGTATAGCTACTTTAGAATTTCACTACTTTATAATTAAATAACTTTGAAATTTCAGTGTTAGTCTGACCATCTGACTGTTTATTTGCAAGATTTCTCAGAAACGGCTTAACTTTTTCAAATTCTGTTTTCAGCAATAGATATTTAAGGACCTTAGATCTATCAGAAAAAATATAAATCAAATCAGTAGCTTACAAGGAGATAAGAAGATTAAAGATCACGATCAATGAAATTCTTCTAATAGTTAGATTTTTCGCTGCATAGTCACATCTTTAATTACATTCATTGCAAAGAATTTATTTGATTATTGATATAAAAATTCCAAGATAATAGAATATATATAAAGTAAGTACCTTTGCTGTCTGGGATCCACATAATTTTTGTAGTAGGATAAGGATGGTCAAATGTACTTTTAGCACTGAATTCAGATGTTTCTTCATCCAGTGAAACAATTTGTACTTTGTTATTATACTCTTCTACAAAGCTTCCCAGTGCTAGACGAAATCTCTTGTCGGGTCTCACTGACCAATTCATGCTGTACAATGGCCATGGTGCCTCGTACTTGTAGATTTCTTTTCGTTTTGGTGGTATGGTATGCATAGCCATGATGCCCTGATATTCCTGTTTCTGTTGCACCAAATATCATTTGACATTAATTTAATAATTTCAGAAATATTTCAATAAAAAAGAAAATTGTATTCTTTTTCATGGAAAGAAAAATATAAAACTTATTAGTAATATAAATTCGATTCGCTTATTCTTAAGAATAAGAGATAGAAAAAAAAACAACAAAAAGCCAATTGAACGAGCAATATAAAAGGATGAAAAAATATAATAATTTATATAAAATTTATTAATGTAAATTAAAATGTTAATACAATCGATGAGAAAATTTATCGATTAACCTGATAATTGTATATTACACGAGAATGACCACCACGAATAATCTGACTGCCAGGAAATTAAATCTCTATGACCATCATATCGCTAAGAAAAATAAGATCATCCAAACATAAAGAATCCACATAAACGCCGTATCTACAATAAAAACCACAGAAAACCAAATGAAGAAAGTGTTCGGGAAGCTCCGGTAACGCCGTAACTAATATTCCGAATATAAAACGATGTCTTTTCAGATATTACAGCCGAAAACGACTGTGAAATCTTCTAAATTCTTTCTTGAATTAATTACAGTTTTCTCTATTTATGGAAAATGTACCAAATCTCATAAATAATATAATCTTTTACAGTATTTCGTAAACACAACGACCTACGACACTATCACTATGTTGGTCACCAGTGTTGCCACATGGGAAAATTAAAAATCTCAATATTTTATCCCTAAATGAGATTAAAATCCCAATCTCCAAAACTTGACGACTTTTTTTCTCGCGCATCCAAGTAAAACATAGCAAATATTTGATATGAAGGATATTCTTAAACGGTTATCGGTGTATCAAAGAGAACAAAGTA